TAGAATACTAGTGCGTAAGGATGGATGAAGACTCTTAGAGGCACTGGTTATTTTGAGGTGACAAAGCTGAAATGGCTCAACGGACTGTTTTAAAGCATCACTTGTTGGGATGAGCAGGTGGGAAGAGAATGGAGCTGTATTAGATATTGCTGAAGAACTGTTACTCTGTGGGGTGCAGTGAATTACTTAATATGGCCCTTCTAGCCATAGTCTTTGTAACTCCCACACAATGATTGGGTGGGACCATGCAAATAAGGTACTTGTAGCCGACCAAGGGGATAGGACAGCTTGTTGCTAATGCAAATAAGGTGCATGGAAGCCTTGTGGGGGTAGCACCATGCAAATAAGTTATATGAAACCCTAATGAGGGGATTGGTCAGCTTGCCATCCTACTAGGCTTAAAATGAGCCATCCCAGAGGCAGAAAAGGGAAGTCCTCTTTACCACCAAGAAGAAGAGATGAGAGTGGAGCATGTCTTTTGACCCAGGATCCCTGCACTAAGAACCTCCTAGACCCAGGAGACAGAGAGAGAGAGCTGTAACACCAGAGATGGCAAAGCAGCAAAGAAATGGCAGGTGCAGAACCAGGATACCTGTGCGAGATGGCACAGTGGGCTTCCAGGCCCGTGGAGCAAGGTGATTACAGGGGGGTGTGCCGACCCACAGAGTGAGAGAGCTTAGTGCCTCAGGCAGGAAGCTTCCTGATGGAGTGGGGTGCCTCCGGGCACTTGACGGCCGAGCTTTATAAAGAGCTTTGAAACACTTTCCTGAGCAGGGCAGAGGCCAGGCTGGCCCAAGAGGCCCAAGAGGCCAAGAGGCCCGAGGGCATGGCTGAGAAAAAGCTGTCCTGATGGAAGAACTGTATCCTGAGTCATTTCTGATCCTGAATTGTAACCTGTTACTTCCCTAAAAAACCCCATAATCGTGAGTATGGTCTGTGAGTTCTGTGTGGCCATTGCAATGAATTGTCGAACCCAGTATAGGAGTAGGGAGTGCCAGAGGAGGGATGGCTGGTGTAGGAATTGGTAAAAAGACTGGAGAGAGGAGGTATGTTTGACCTCTGACTCATAAGAATCAGCCTTGGGCTGTTGATGCTAATAACGATTCTCCTTCCCCCTTGTGAAGTTAGACGAGGAGATCTGGTGGCTGCCCACACGTCATTTTTACACTCTGCAATCTCTAGTAGATTTCTTGAAAAGGGACAAATGCCTTCAGTTTAAAACTCTGATTGGTAAGAAGGCCAAATCTCTTCAAAGAGAAGGAGAGGGCGGGCAGTGTCAGATGTGGCTAGAAGCCCCAGAAAGAAGAGCTATGCTAGAATTCTTCCATTCACATTGCCAGAGAAATGGATTCAACCACAGAAGCAGAGGTAGAGGAAACTAAGTCATTTGTAGAAACTGGGAGCTACTATAAAACTGAGGATGCTCTCGAGGGTAGCAATCGGTACTAAGAAATTCAACTTTGCTGACTGGCTGGAATACGTTCCTGGAGTTCTGCTAGAGTGGTAGCTATTGGATGCAGGAAAAAAGGATGATGGATATCTACTAAGAGAGGAAATTCCTTTTCCTTCAAGATCTTAAACACAGAGGGGATGAAAGTGGGGTTGGGAACTTGCCAAAAGAACCAGAATGGGCTGAGGTCAAAGTTCATAATAATGAAATATCTCGTCCCTCTTGATTCTAGTTAGAAAAAACTAAAAGAATTTCCATGCACTAACCTATAGCTCAACTTCTTTGTTCTTATTGGGCACAAAGGTGGCAAATTAATTATTTCCTGCATAGCTGCACATTCCCCACTCATGTTTTTCTAACCCCTCTTCCTTGGGCTGTCTCCATTTTATGTCTTAACAGACGGAACCAACTTCTCTACTCCAGGGGGTGGACATGAATTACAGAACAAGCGAACAATTGGCTATCCTCCAAAAATGTAGCTTTGATGTTGATCTTTGAACCCACAGGTGATTCTTTTGCTTCCTGTGCTCATAACAGGCACTTAATACATGTTTTTCGAATAAGTGAGTTTCCCCTTGATCCACAGCTCCTCAGTGCAAAAGACCTAGAAAAAAATACAAATTTCTTTGTATACCATTTATATTTTGTTGAAAAGATTTATGCACAAGTGAGCATTCAGTTACAATTTGAGAGAAGGGCTTTTCATTTTGAGAGACTGCAGTCAAGTCTGAAAGCAGGATTTCCTCTCAGTAACAGGGAGTAACGTAGTGTTTTTCATAATCAAAGACTCTTTTTTCTTCTTTAAAAAATTTTTATTGTTATAAAAATATAAAGAACACAACATTTGCCAGTTCAACATTTTTCATGGGTACAAGTCAATAAAACCAAGTACATCAATCATGTTGTGCAACCATCACCACTATCTGTTTCCAAATTTTCCATCCCCATAAGCAAAAACTTTATGCTACCTAAATAATGATACCCACTCCCCGCACCCCTCTTGCCCCTGGTAACCAGTATTAATCTCTAATCTCTATACCTTTGCCTATTCTAGGTATTTCATATTATTTGTCCTTTTGTATAATCAATGACTCTTACACTTCTCTTTCTCTCCCACCCTCCGCATATTCACTCAATCAGCAAATTCTCTCATAACGATCTCCAAAATACAACCAGAATCCAACAACCTCTCACCATGCTCACTGCTTCTGCCCTACTCCAAGGTACCATCATCTCTAACCTGAGTATTGTGGTGACTTCCTAAAGGCCAACTTATTCTCCCCTCTCTCCCCTCCATCTGTTCTTCATAAACAGTGTGACCCTTTTAAAATATAAATCAGATCATGGGACTGGTTAAAACCCCTCAATAGCTTCCCATTCCAATGACAAAATCCACAAGGCTTGACATGATCTGTGTCCTGCCTGCTTCTCCCTCCTCATTTTGCACTACTGACCTCCTTACTCACTACACCCACCCAGACTGGCCTTCTTTCCTCACCTCAAACAATGCAGGCTTGATTTCCTCCCAAAGCCTTTGCATTTGCTGTTCCCTATTCCTAGAATAAAGGTCCCTGGGTGGTGCAAATGGTTTGTGCTCAACCACTAACCTAAAGGCTGGCAGTTCAAACATACCCAGTAGTGCCATGGAAGAAAGGCCGGGTGATCTGCTTCCATAAAGATGACAGTCAAGAAAATTCTATGAAGCAGTTCTACTCTGTAACACATGGGGTTGCCATGAGTCCGAGTTGACTTGGTTTTGTTTTGGGTGCCTGGAATATTTCTATGTGACCTTCATGCATTGGTGACCCTCTCAGACCAGTCATGGGTTACCTCATTTGTCACCTCGTCATAGAGGGCTATTCTGATCATCCTGACTGATTTAGCCCTTGTCCCAGCCATCGTTTATCCAATTACCTGGCTTTATTTTCTTCATAAGATCTATCTCTAGTTGAAACAATTTGTTTATGTATCAGTGACCCTCTCCCCCGTAGAAGATAAGCCCCATGAAGGCATGGATTTTGTCTCTCTTGTTCTCTGCTTTATTTCTAGTGCCCAATACAATGCCCGAGGTACAGCAGGTGCTCAAAACATTTTGGTTTATTTTCTATGCCATTTGAGGATTACGAAGGACTACAGCTACTACCTGAGGGGGACAAGGGCTCTGGTTACAGGTAAATATAATAACTATATACAATACTTGTTCCTCACTAAGTGTTTAATCATCGTCAACAAACATTTATACAGCCTTCACAAATTCCAAACTTCTTCCAGGTACTGTCACAGATAGCTACTTGGATTAGATAGACCCTAATTACTATACATTCAAGATTCTGGTGCCAGAAATTGCAAAAATATATAAATAACCTTTTTTAGGAAAATGTTGTCTTAGTTAACTTTATTACTGTCTTGAAGTGTTTTATTTAGCAGTAATTTGTTGAGTACTTTTCAATCATTCATTCAGTAATTGTATATCAAGCATATAGGATAAGTTTTGTGCTGCGCATTAAGAATTCCAAATTGAACAAGACCAGAGTCTGCCCTTGAGGGCCTTTCAGATTATTGCTGATAAACAGATAATTGGAATATGACATGGTGAGATCACCAACAAAAATATGTACAGCATACAGTGGTGGCCCAAAGAAGGGAGTTTGCAGCTCTCTTTAGCTGGGTCACAGAACCTTTCACAGATGTGGAGATACTTGAACTTGGTTTTGAAGGAAAATTAGGAGCTCACAAGGGCCAATTAGGTGGAGGAGAAGGGGAGCATAATATAATTTAAGAAGAGGAATTTAAAGGTACAAAGAAACAGTTTATGGAAATAACAAGTCGGGTAGGGGCGCCACAACTAGTTTGGCAGAAACATATGTGGTTCCATGAAATGGCCCTGGAGAGTGAGCGGGGACCAGTTCATAATGAGTTGAATGTTGTTCAAAAGAGATTTTATCTTCTGAAAGATTTCAGTTGTATAATAGAGCTGTAATGAATGGGTAAGTCTTTATGGGAAACTTTAAAATAGTATCAGTTTATCTGCCCACCCCTAAAAGCAATCTTACTCCTAGAATGCCTATCTGGAAGTTTCATATGTTTTGAAAATTATCATTATACGCACTTACATGTCTACCTTGAGTAGATAATGATTTCATTATCTTCCCAACCAGGTTACTTTTGAGAGTGAAAAGTGGCACTAACTGAATGAGCCATTGGAACAATTGGAATAAATCAGGACTGTCCCAGGCAAATGAGGACATATGATCAACCAACCTTGACCAAAATGGGTTCACGGCGCAGGTGGAGAAATCACAGTTCCTGCTCTTTAGTGGTTCACATCCTGAGGAAGGGGGAGTAGGTTTGATATGATGGAACATTCTGTGACTGTGAACTCCATATTTGGTGGTGTAGGTAGGGGTGGACTTGGATTTCTTGTCTGTCCATGTGGGTTAAAATGAGAGCTCAGAAGGCCGACAGCACCCAAAACTCTAGCTCACCTTGAAAGACTGTGTAACACAGATCACTGGACAAAGATATTCTGCCGCCACTTTCTCCTGTAAACATGAAGCTGTTTATGGTTCTTATTATTCTGCTGTTTGAGGTACCCACAGGTAACTTGTCCAAATATACCATGAAATCCTAGGAGAGATTACTGTCCATAAAAGTGGGAACAGGACCTTAAAGATTGTTGGTATCGTCAAAAATACCCATTCTCCTGGGTGCCCCACTTGAGCCTATGCCTTAGAAGAGAGCTTCCAGGGAAGTAAGAAAAGATCAGGGGTGTCCTCTCAGGGATCCTCTCCAAAGGTAGGATTGAACCCACCATCTAGAATTATCTTTATAATGCTGAACACAGTTTTCACCCAGGAACTTGGTTATCTTTTTTTCATTCAAATTCATTTTCAGCCTGTACAACAATAGTGTGAGGGTAATGGGAACAACACAAGGTTTAGAGTTATCATTTACTAGTTGTGTGACTTAAGCTAATTATTTCCTTTGAGCCTCAGTTTTCTCATCTGTCAAGCGGGTATAACGATTCTATTTTGTAGTGTTGTTGTTAGGATTACATGGGTTTACAAATGTGAAGCATCAAGTTCATGGTAGGAGCTGTGTCAGTGAGACTTTCCTTCTCCCTTGCTGCTGTAGGAAGACATGTCTTTTTGTGTGCCTAAAAATTCCTGAAAATCTAGGATCACTGAGGAGATAGGTATAGACAAAATTGGGTTTGATCCCTGGGGAACATATTTATCTGGGATTAGAAGAAAGATAGAGAGAGGAAGAGAGACAGCAAGAAAGAGTAAGAGAGAGAAAAAGGAGTTCTCAACAGCATTTATTGCTGAGACCCATGAGGATGGGTATTGGCAAAGGGAGATTTCTGCTGTCCATGTCAGTGTGAAACCTAAATTATACCGTTAACTTAAAAAGTCTTCTCTGATGTTCTTTTTAAAGTTGATTTGGCTCTGAATTGGGTTGGTGGTGACAAGTTAGCACTCTCTGAGGACATTGAACTGGGTTATGGCCAAGAGAGTGCTAACTTTGGGGCATGGAGGAGAGAATTAGCATTGCCAAGGTCCTAGGGAAGGTATATAGCTTCTGTTGATAACCAGAATTGAGCTCTCTCCTCTCTTTTCTTATGTAAGTTTTAATCTTCTCAGAACCAACTGGGCATTGACTAGGAGCCTGGGGTCTTAGATGTCCTTAATTTGAGATGATTTTCAAGGAGGGAGCTCTGAGTTTTCTCTTATCAGCCTAGGGGTCACTTTGGGACTACAGGAGGTCATAGGTTGTTCCCACATACCTCTTCCACTACCAAATGGTTACTACCTTCCCAGGACAGGTACACTCTCTCTGCTTCAGAAACAACTAACCTTGGTTCAATGTTGTTTCCTGTGCACAGACGGGATACGACCCAAAAAATGCTTTAATAATATAACAGGCTACTGCAGGAAGAAATGCAAAATGGGAGAAATATATGAATCGTCATGTCGAAACGGGAAATTATGTTGTGTTGATGCAGAAGAAAACAAAATGTTTCAGGTAGTTAAACACCCACCTCAACCTTCAGAAAACTCCAATGTGAGTCTGGATTATGTTATTTTACCGACCGTCACACTTAACACAATCCAAATATAAATCAAACACTTGCTCCACTGGTCTCCACTCTTCCTAAATCAAAAGTGCTGACTAATCCAGCAGGCTAGGGCAAGAGATTTATGGACTTCCTTCTGTGAACTTGATCCTCCGGATAATAAAGTCATATGCCTTTCCCTGAATTTATTTATTGATGTATTCACTCATGCTTTTGAATACTTCAAACATAAATGAATAGTTACCATCTTCCAGGCATTATACTAGGTAAGATGGGTGATGTAGAGATGAAATGAACACATTGGTAGCTGTGGGGGTTAGCCTCTTTATTTTATATGCAAGACAATGTTTCATAGCCTTTCAGGCATGAGTCCTCTTTTAATGTGATTTCTTATGTTTAAGCAGACATTTGTGTGTGTGTGTGTGTGTGTGTGTGTGTGTATGTGAGAGAGAGAGAGAGAGATAAATACATAGGGTTTTGTTAACAACCAATAATTAATTAGAAGGAGGAAGATGTTTGAACATTGTCATAACATTTCTTGGGGGCAGATCTGAAGGGCAGTGATGATATCTAGTGATAATTCCAATACATCATTTGAAGCTTATTTGATGGTCATGCCACATCTCCTTTTTCAGTAGCAATTTGACATGATTTAAAAAAAAAAATTGTGCTTTAAGTGAAAGTTTACAATTTAAGTTAGTTTCTCATACCAAAATTTATACACACGTTATGTGACCCTAGTTGCTCTTCCTGTACTGACAGCACACTCCTCCTTTCCACCCTGGATTTCCTGCATCCATTCAACCAGCTCCTGACCCTTTCTGCCTTCTCATCTCGTTTCTGGACAGGAGCTGCTCATTTAGTCTCATGTATCTACTTGAGCGAAGAAGCACATGCTTCACGAGTATCATTGTAAGTTCCATAGTCCTGTCTAATCTTTGTCTGAAGAGCTGGCTGTGGGAATGGTTTTAGTTCTGGGCTAACTGAGAGTCCGGGGGCCATGTCTTCTGGGGTCCCTCTAGTCTCAGTCAGACCATTAAGCCTGGTGTTTTTACTAGAATTTGAGTTCTGCACTGCACTTTTCTCCTGCTCCGTCAGGGACTCTCTGTTGTGTTCCCTGTCAGGGCGGTCATTTGTGGTAGCTGGGCACCATCTAGTTCTTCTGGTCTCAGGTTGATGGAGCCTCTGGTTTATGTGGCCCTTTCTGTCTCTTGCGCTCATATTTTCCCTGTGTGTTTGGAGTTCTTCATTCTCCTTTGCTCCAGGTGGGTTGAGACCAATTGATGCATCTTAGATGACTGCTTGCTAGCTTTTAAGACTCTAGATACCACTCACCAGAGTGGGATGCAGAGCATTTTCTTAATAAACTTTGTTATGCCAATTGACCTAGATGTCCCCTGAAACCATGGTCCCTAGACACCTGCCCCTGCTACTCTGTCCCTTGAGGTGTTTGGTTGTATTCAGGAAACTTCTTAGCTTTTGGTTTAGTCCAGTTGTGCTGACTTCTCCTGTAGTGTGTGTTGTCCTTCCCTTCACCTAAGATAATTCTGGTCTACCATCTAGTTAGTGAATACCCCTCTCCTTCCCTCCTCACTCTCATGACCATCAAAGAATATTTTCTTCTGTTTAAACCTTCTCTTGAGTTCTTATAATAGTGGTCTTATACAATATTTGTCCTTTTGCTACTGACTAAATTCACTCAGCATAATGCCAGATTCCTCCATGTTATGAGATGTTTCGGGGATTCATCATTATCTTAATCATTGCAAAGTATTCAATTGTGTGTATGTACCATAATTTGTTTATCCATTCATCCGTTGATGGGCATCTAGGTTGTTTCCATCTTTTTGCTATCATGAACAGTGCTGCAATGAACATGGCTGTGCATGTATCTATTCATGTGATGGCTCTTATTTCTCTAGGATATTTTCCAAGGAGCAGGATTGCTGGATCGCATGGTACTTCTATCTCTAGCTTTTTAAGGAAGTGCCAAACTGATTTCCAAAGTGGTTGTACCATTTTACATTTCCACCAACAGTGTATAAGTGTTCCAGTCTCTCCACAACCACTCCAACATTAATTATCTGGTGTTTTTTGGATTAATGCTAGCCTTGTTGGGGTGAGATGGTATTTCATTGTAGTTTTGATTTGCATTTCTCTAATGGCTAATGATCGTGAGCATTTCTTCATGTGTCTGTCTTCTTTGGCGAAGTGCCTGTTCATATCCTTTGCCCAATTAAGGGTATTTGTCTTTTTGTTGTTGAGTTTTGCACTATCTTGTAGATTTTAGAGATTAAACACTGATCGAATTTGTCGCAGCCAAGTTTTTTTTCCCAGTCTGTAGGTTGTCTTTTGACTCTTTTGGTGAAGTCTTCTGATGAGCGTAAGTGTGATTTTTAGGAGCTCCCAGTTGTCTAGTTTCTCTTCTGGTGTTTGTGCATTGTTAGTTATGGTTTGTATTCTGTTTACACCATGTGTTAGGGTTCCTAGATTTGTCCCTGTTTTTTCTTCCATGATCGTCATCATTTTAGATTTTATATTTAGCTCTTTGATCCATTTTGCATTAGTTTTTGTGCATTGTGTGAGGTATGGGTCTTATTTCATTTTTTTGCAGGTGGATATCCAGTTATGCCAGCACCATTTGTTAAAGAGACTGTCTTTTCCCCAGTTAACTGACTTTGGGCCTTTGTCAAATATCAGCTGCTCATAAAGTGGATGAATTTATGTCTGGATTATCAATTCTGTTCCATTGGCCTATGTATCTGTTGTCATACCAGTACCAGGCTGTTTTGACTACCGTGGTGGTATAATAGGTTCTAAAATCAGATAGTGTGAGGCCTCCCACTTTGGTCTTCTTCAGTAACACTTTACTTATCCGGTGCCTCTTCCCTTTCTGTATGAAATAGGTGATTTGTTTCTCCATCTCATTAAAAAATGTCGTTGGAACTTGCATTGGGATTGCATTGTATCTGTAGATTGCTTTGGGTAAAATTGACATTTTCACAATATTGAGTCTTTCTATCCATGAGCAAGGTATGTTTTTCCACTTATGTAGGTCTCTTGGTTTCTTGCAGTAGTGTCTTGTGGTTTTCATTGTATAGGTCTTTTACGTCTCTAGTTAGATTTATTCCTAAGTATTTTATCTTCTTGTGGGCAATTGTAAATGTTACAGATTTGGTGATTTCCTCTTCGAAGTTCTCTTTGTTGGTGTAAAGGAATCCAGCTGAGTTTTGTATGTTTATCTTGTATCCTGATACTTTGCTGAAATCTTCTATTAGTTTCAGTAGTTTTCTTGTGGATTCTTTGGGATTTTCTGTGTATAAGATCATATCATCTGCAAATAGACATACTTTTACTTCTTCCTTACCAATTTGGATGCCCTTGATTTCTTTTTCTAGCCTAATTGTTCTGGCTAGAACCTCCAGCACAATGTTGAATAAGAGTGGTGATAAAGGGCATCCTTGTCTGGTTCCCATTCTCAAAGGGAATGCTTTCAGACTCCCTCCATTTAGGATGATGTTGGCTATTTGCTTTGTATAAATTCCCTTGACTATGTTGAGGAATTTCCCTTCTACTCCTATTTTGCTGAGAGTTTTTATCATGAATGGGTGTTGGACTTTGTCAAATGCCTTTTCTGCATCAGTTGATAAGATCATGTGGTTCTTGTCTTTTGTTTTATATACGTGATGGATTACATTGATTGTTTTTCTAATGTTGAACCATCCCTGCATACCTGGTATAAA